ACCAGAGCCTTCAGGGTGTGATCAGCCCACAGGCTGCTTCCAAACGTGAGGATGTGCACCCACAGGCATGCACCAGCTGGAGCACCTAAATACACTGTGCACCGTGTTCAGTCCAGGTGTGTGTGTGGGCACATGTAACACGTACACCCATCTGCATCTGTACGGAAGGACTGGCGGCGACACCTTTGTGAGTGGGCACAGGTCTCCGCCCCCCAGAGGTGTTCAGCAGGCCTGTGCCCATCCGGGGAAGCTCTAAGATGCAAGTTGGTATCCAGCTGGGCAATGCACTTGCAAAAGCTGCAGCCAGTGGTGGCAGTCATCCGCCGGTCTGGGCTTGAGGTCCTCTGGTCCTGATTTTTCCTCTCTCCTTCCCTCACTCCCCCCCCCCAGGCTGGAGCAGCCCCCTCGCCTGAAATTAACCAGAGCCCGTTTTCCTGGGACTGCTGCTCCATGGGGGCCCCGGAGGAGCCAAGTCCTGCCCTTCACCCCCCACCCCCCACTTGACCTCCTCCTGGCTCAGTGCAGCACCTGTGTCCTGCTCAGGACAGGCTGCGCTTTGGTGCAGTGAAGGGCTGTACCTGCCAGCACCCGCCCAGGTGGTCATGCAGGGAGGAGAGCCAGTCCCGAGGACACTCGGCCTGAAGCCTCCTCCAAGGTGTGATCTGGTGCCCCAGAAGCTGGCCCTTGTGAAGGCATTTGCATCCACCTCCCACAGTAGCCCCTGAGAGATGGTCTCTGGAAACACAGGATGGAGGCGGGGACACAGAAGCTGACACCTCCCCGAGGAATTAAATGAGGAGGTGCCTTCTCCCCCCTCCCCTTCAGCCTCACGTGACTGGTACTTTCTCTCTCCAACAGCCTCTGGCCCTGCTTGTCAGACTGCAGTTCCTTGCACTGTCCCGCAGGATGACCTGTAGGGCAAGACATGCCAACCAACCTCCCTCCCCTCCCCAGGTATCCAGCAGCTGTGACTACGTGTTTGTTAGCGGAAAGGAGTCTCGCGGGTCCATGAATGCCAGGGTCACCTTCCGCTACGACGTCCTCAGTGCCCCCCTGGAAATGACAGTCTGGGTCCCCAAGCTGCCCCTGCACATCGAGCTCTCGGACGCCCGCCTCAGCCAAGTGAAGGGCTGGAGGGTACCCATCCTCCCCGACCGGAGGTACAGCCCCTCCACACACGGCAGATACTCGGGACACTCGCGGGTGACACAGCCCTGGCACATGGTCTGATCTGCATGTGTGCCTAAGGGCCTCGATGTACACAGTCTGGGGCTGGTTATGCACTCAACAAACTTTTACTGAGCAGCTACTGTGTGCCAGGCACTGGCGGGTGCTTGAGATGCGAGATGAATGTGGCCGGTACCTTACTCAGCCAAGTTCTGGGTCCACCAGGGAAGCCATCATGTATATGCCACAGAGCACGGTGGATGCAGAAAGCAGGGAATTGAGTGGCACAAAGGAGAGAACCACCTCTCCCTCTGGGAAAAGTCAAGGCAGGCTTCCTGGAAGAGGTGACTCTTGAGCTAAGTCTAAAAGGATGAGTGGAAATGAGTTGTCTGGGGAACAGGGTGAGAGACCAGTCCAACAGCAGACAAAATGGAGCAGACACAGTAACACAGGAGCACACACGGCTACACACACATGCCCCAGCCTGGGCATGTCGAGGCACATCAGCTGGGCACACACTAACTCACACTGGGTGTACACACGTGCCCCAGCCTGGGCACGCGAGGCACACTTGTAGGCACATCAGCTGGGCACACACTAACTCACACTGGGTCCCTCTCTGGGGGGCAGGCTCACACACCTGAGTACCCAACTGCGGGGCATGGACATCTGCACTCAGCGCACCCCACTCACCCACCATGGCTGCAAGAGAGAAAAGCCAGCAGGGAAGAGGAGGAGGGGCGGGGCCAGGGAGAGGAGCAAGCGGCCGAGTGAGACTTGGGCTCAGTTCAATTCTGCAGGATTTGGGAAAGCAAGGCCGGGTGGACCAGAGCCTCTGGAACTTGAACGAGCACACAGCTCACCTGCAGATCCTGTCTGTTGCACATGTATTTTGGACCAGCTCCTGGGTGATGCTGATGCTGCTTTGAGTAGTGAGGACGCAGTAAACTCTGAAGCCAGACAACCAGTTTGAGAACTGACCTCTGCTCTTTGGCTGGCCAACCATGGGCTATGCACATAACCTCTCCATGCCTTGGTTTCCTCATCTGTAAAATGGGCACATTAACACTTACCTCACAGGACTGTGGTGAGGATTGGATTTGTTAACAGGTAAAAGCACCCTCTGTGTGGATGAATATTCTAGTGCTTGATTCTTCTAAGCACTAGCAAAGCAGTAGCCACACGGTGACTCTCTTGCTTTCTGCATTGTGGGTAATTCTGAGTAGGCGGAGCATTCCCCAGACCATCACGTCCTGGGTCCCTTTTGCTCACCAGTTCTTCCCTCAGTTTCTCTCTCTCCTTTTTGCATTTCACTATGAGCAGCAAGAGAAACCCAAGCCGCCCCTTCAACGCTTGGCTTGTGAATCTCAGCTAAACATCCAGGTTGATCACTTACAAGTTCTGTTTGCCACACAGCGTAGGACGAGCCAGCCCAGCTCCGGGCACTCCGTAAAGGGATCGCCTTTGCTCCAGCGCAGAGCTGAGAGCAGGGCCAGGCTCACGCTCAGCGCTGAAAAGAGGTCGCACTCGTTAGGGTTTGATGCCAGCTTTTCGCAGGCGTGCGGGAAGCCAAGTGGAGGCAGAGAGACCAGGGAGGGCCAAGAAGGTGCCTTTTTAGGAGGGAAGAGCCTGGGCCTCCCAGCTCCACACTTGTCAGGAACAGGAGTGAGCCAGGGACATGGCTCACTATTTGCACACAGCCGTCCACGGGAGCCGGGGAACGGCTAGCAGGGCCAGGGGAGGGAGGGGCTTGTGCAGGTCACTGATCCTGTGCCCCCACCCAGGTCAGCCCGGGAGAGCGAGGACGAGGACGAGGAGGAGGAGGAGCGGCGGCAGAGCAGCAGCCGCGGCTGCACCCTGCAGTACCAGCACGCCACTCTGCAGGTCTTCACCCAGTTCCACACGACCTCGTCCGAGGGCACCGACCAGGTGGTCACCATGCTGGGCCCGGACTGGCTGGTGGAGGTCACCGACCTGGTCAGCGATTTCATGCGGGTGGGTGACCCCCGAGTGGCACGCCTGGTAGACAGCAGCACGCTGGCAGGCCTGGAGCCGGGCACCACCCCCTTCAAGGTAGGCACAAGGGCAGTGCCAGGAGTCCTGTTTGCCTGTGGGCAGAGGATGCAGACGTTCTTAGGAAAGGAATTCCAGGGTCTCAGCCCCCAAAACACACTTTCTTCCCTGCCTGCGCCTCTGCCTGATGTTCCACCATCAGAGGCCAAGGTCCTTTAGCTTCACCGTGGTGAAGGGTCTCCCTCCACACCTGACCAGTACTATCAACCTCGCATCCCCGCGTGGTTCCTGAGAGCAGGTGCGGGCTCAGGCAGCTAGAGGGCCGGAGAGGGAGTTCAGGAGCTAGGAACTCAACTCTGACCTCCTTGACATTTGCCCGAGTAGAAATCCTCCACCTGGGAGATGGTGAACAGTGACCCGTGGGCTGGAATCTGCTTGCAGGATCCTTGTTTGTAAAAACAATTGATCCTACATTTGAAAATTAGAAAGCTTCTCATTGTTTAGAAAACCAGATTTCTGGTTTTACAAAATATAAATATGGCAACACCGGGCCTGCCTTCCCACCTGGGAATATGCTGCTAGAGTCAGTACTGGTGCCCCCTTTCCATGAGCATGAGTTCTCCCGTTGGCCACAGTCCCCACCACTCCCTTTCGTCTCCCTCATATTGAGGTTGGAATATCAATTACTATTTCTCACTGTGCGGGCCTATTGTTTCCTTTACATCTGCCCATCTCTCTCATCTGTGCTCCTGCAAGCCCCGCACGCCCCCCCCCCCCAAGAGACCCCTGGACCCTGGTTCCCAGGTGCAAACCTAAGGCAAAGCCTCCCAGCCTGCCCCACCCCCTGGACCTCTCTTCCGGTGGCACTGGGACTCCCCCTGATGGGTGATCCTGGGGTCCTGGTTTCCTGGCCTTCACCCACCCCGCCCCTCTCTGCCTCAGGTGGTGTCCCCACTGACGGAGTCTGTGCTCGGGGAGACGCTGCTGACCGTGACAGAGGAGAAGGTCAGCATCACACAGCTGCAGGCCCAGGTGGTGGCCAGCCTCGCCCTCTCCCTACGGCCAAGCCCTGGGAGCAGCCACACCATCCTGGCCACCGCTGCCGCCCAGCAAACCCTCAGCTTCCTCAAGCAGGTAACTGGGTGCCCCGCCTACCAGCCTGGGGCTTGGAGTGTAGAAGGAGGGCTTGCGGGCTCTGGCTTACCCTTGTGCCACGAGTGCCCCAAAATTAGGGCGTTAGGCAATGGAAGATCTCTCTACCCTCCATGCCCTGTGTGCCTGCTCCACCCCACCCCACTGCCGTCTGCACAGGGAGTCTGGCCAAGGTCTCGCTTTCTGCACCTGCCACCCTGAGGTCTTCCTGCTAAGGGTTCCCCCTCCCAGATTCTCAGAGGGCCCATCAGCTCTGCCTGTACCCCAGGAATTACACTTACCTATTTCTGGAGCCCCAGCTACAGCCCACCCCCCGAAATGCCAGGACAGTGGCTGCAGGCAAAGGTGGAAAGGTGACAGGCAGAAGCCCAGGGAATGAGAAGGCGGGTGTTGAGCACTAAGCCAGGAGTCAGGATCCAGAAGCCATCTGCCTCCACTTGCTCCCTGACCCCAGGCCAATCCCTTCTCTCTGGGCCCTGCCTTCTCACCTGCAGGGAGGCCAGTGTAACCAACAGGGGAGACTGGGGTTGGGTGTGTGTCCTCAACCTCCAAGTGTCTGATGGGGGTGATCCCAAGGGCAGGCATGGAGAAGTGGGGTAACTGCTGCAGCAAAAGGGACTTGAGTGAGACCCAAGGCAGTGGCGTGTGTCCTCAACCTCCAAGTGTCGGATGGGGGTGATCCCAGGGGCAGGCATGGAGAAGTGGGCTAAGTGCTGCAGCAAAAGGGACTTGAGTGAGACCCAAGGCAGAACTTACCTTTAGCTCATCCAGGGGAGAAAGGTGAGGTGGGCAGAGGAATTCTCAAGGCAGCAGGAAGCCACCATGTGCCTGGACCCTCTTCACAGCCTCCCAGTCAGTCATTCCTGAGCACCTGCCACCTGCCAGGCACATCCAGCCCTGGGAGTCCAGCCGGGAGCCAGACACCTGAGTCCCTGCCCTCACAAAGCTCATCCAACAGGGAAGCCAGCCAGGACCAGCCTCTGACTCCTCTCCCCTTCTCCTCCTCCTCCAGGAAGCCCTCCTGAGCCTCTGGCTCTCCTACAGTGACGGCACCACAGCTCCACTCTCCCTCTACAGCCCCCGGGACTATGGGCTGCTGGTGAGCAGCCTGGACGAGCGGGTGGCTACGGTGACCCAGGACCGGGCCTTCCCCCTGGTGGTGGCTGAGGCGGAGGGGGCAGGGCAGCTGCTCCGCGCGGAGCTCACCATCGCTGAGAGCTGCCAGAAGACCAAGCGCAAGAGCGTCCTGGCTACCACCCCCGTGGGCCTGCGGGTGCACTTGGGGCGGGAGGAGGAGGACCCCACCTACGACTACCCAGGCCCCAGCCAACCGGG